CTTGCGGGCCTGACCCAAGGGGGCACCATGACCCACACCACATACATTGTGGTCCAATGTGGCCAACTGTTATAAATAGGTCCCGTACATGAATTCTAAGGATCTTTAAGAACCACTCATTTGTTTCATTCAAATAAGCAGAGATCTCTCAAATCTCTAAAGTTTATACAAATGAATCCCTAGCGCATAACTGATTTTTGTCCAGTATAGGCGAGACACAGTTCTTAGTTAACAGTTTAGTCTGATCCACAGATAACAAGAGAATATGATCTGACTCAGGATCATAATCTCTTGCAGATAATCGCTGTCCAGGAAGACGTATTACTAGAGTTGTCCATCTAAGATGCTTGTACGTACTTCAGTCGCAGATTCTTCCAAGCGGTACCTAGGATGCCTCAGCCATTCACTGGTACCTGGGTGGTAAAAGCCTCTGTGGGAGTAAAAAGTCTCTTCTGGCAGCCTAAGAACGACGTGGACAGCGCCTCTTTATCTGCGCTTCAGATTGATGAAAGCTTCTTGAAGTTTCGGAGAACGAGAAATTGCTGTGGGAATTAGGTCCATAGGCAAGCATTTCCATGGCTTTTTCGAGTTTGGGAGAACGAAATGCTGTGACAACAGGAACCGAAGGCTAGTATTTCTATAGCTTTTTCATATTTGGGTGAACGAGAAATGCTGTGTGGGAATATGATCCACAGACAGGTATTTCCACAGCCTTTTCGAGTTTGCTAGAACAAGAAATACTATGGGAATAGGAACCACAGGCGAGAATTTCTACAACTTCTTCGAGTTCTCTCAAACTTTCACGACTGTTTCTATAACTTTATAGAAATTCGATTAATATTTGTCAGTGTCTGTCAATTAGAAGGCACTGCGAGAAAAAGTAAAATCACTCGTTTATTTCGATAATCAAAATCTGATTTCTCTTGGCTCATGCCGTCACTCTGTCAACAGTTGGTAGTTCTGTGTTTCAATCGAGTTTCACTAGAATTCTACATCTACACGTTTACTAATGTAATTAGAGAGGCCCTCTCACTAATAAGAACGGTCCACTCGATTTCGGACCCCGGAACTGCTTTACTTTATATTTCTACCACAAGTACTAATACCTATCCTAACTTCTTAAATGTAGTTAAAATAATTCGAAAGCTTGTTTTCCTGCCGTTTAGAGGATATATCGATGTGAATAAACGGAGAAACAGACATTTTTGTCCGTCGCGATAATTCGTTAACTTTCACTGCTTAACCCCCCAAAATTTGAACACATCCATTAATTTACTAACACTTCTAACTACTGATATATTATCTAGCAATTTTCGAGTTCAAAATTGGCGGAGAACTGCAGTATTCATTGAACACCGTTAAAATTTAATCAGACATTACGAAAATATGGCCCTAAATCTTGCCGTAGTACTAGTTGCTACATGTTACAACTAGGTGCAATGCAAGCCTTAGATTAAGAGCCATTTTGTCAATTATCAAATAACAATTGTGGCACAACGCGATTCTAAGAAATAACTTCCGTTGATATTTTGCTGTTTTTGATATTTTCACTAATCAAGTATTTTGTGACACACATCGTGTGCCCCGACCAGGTTTTGACCAGTCAACTTAAAAAAAAAATTAAAAACATACCCAAAAACCACCCTGAAATTATATTTACTAGTTGCATTGCTTGAAAAACTGCCATTATTCTGTCTATGACGTCACTAGTTACGTTCTGTGAAAAGGCAAAGGCTTATACGACAAAATTTGCCCAAGAATTGATGTTAAACTAAAAAACAAAATAAACTGGTACTTATTATATATTGTATAAGAAGTTATTACATTATATATTGTCACGCGATTCCTATATAAGCGATTCCTAGTTAACGTGGACATGCTAACAAGGTTATCTCTTGAAGACCTCCTAAGATGTAATTAAACTACAAAAAGAATTCACTATAAACTGTAATCCACTTTCCTTTCCCTATTTTGGATGACAGATTTTAACCATTGACAATGATTTCTGAGACACGCGGCCTATATTGAAACGTGTTCGAATGTTTTTCACTTTGTTCAGGATTCTGAATTTATTGCGACTTTCAAATGATGATAGATCAAACAGATGATTCTTACCAGGCCGAAAGATCGTGAGACGTTCCATTTCATATCATACCATTCCAGGTCACCCATCTTTACAGTGGTCAGAAGTTCCTGGCATAGTCTAATCACGCTGCTGATGCCTTCCCAGTCTTGGAAATCAATCTCAGGTCGGGAACCACCGTATTCTATTGTAGGTACTTAAATCTCGTTGTTGTTTCAAACCTCTGCCTGTTAAATTTTGATCTCGGTTGTTGGTCATTACTATTGTCTTTTCAGAAGTTTTGTGGAAGCACCCCACCACTTCTTTCTCCTCTTCTAGTAAGCCATCTATATCATGGATCAGTACCGAATCAGCGCTGCAGAAGTTTGTTCTTAGTCCTTGATCTTTATCACGACAGTTGATGACTTTATGGTCTCTCATACCATCACTTAATTCTTATCTAGAAGGATGTTTGTTCAACCGTGGTGAGCGTAAGGATTCCTGTCGGTCTCCATTTTGTTGTTTAAAATTAGTCTTCCCGCAGTTTTGTCAGAAAGGTGTTATTAGTGACTCGAACAAGGTTGGTACAGAGGTTGCACTTGCTTATGGTCTTACGTGAGGTATCCCTGACATACCTATTTAAGGCTTTCTGGACTCCATAAGGACATGGTGGAGATCTTGAAAGGGCTGGAGACGAGTCTTGCAAAGGAGGCTAATCGGATCCTCAGACTGATCTACAGGGTCATCTTTGACCGACAACCCGCTTTTCTTAAGAACTAATCTTGAGACTGCGTGATGTAATTTTCAGAGTGACTTTAGTCTGGCGGCTAATGAAATTAATTCCGAGGTTGGTTTGGCACGGCTGGGATTACATTTCTTGAGATTGGTAATGATTGGGTCATTGAGGCCAAGGTTGCTGTGAGAGAAGTGATCATCGCTCCCCCGCTTCTTGAATGTAGTGCTATTGATGATTTGAACACTTCATTAGACTTCCTAATCTTTAGTGAATCACTACAGTCTCGACCTCTTCACTATCCCATGAGACGATCTTGTTCGGTCTCGCTGCAACAAATATCGGAACAGTATTCCGTCCATCAGTTAATAACTGCTTGTGTCGCTGAACGTGATTAGCCTGATTTGTCCTGGCCAAGACTGCCTTATCTTGCCTTGCTGAGATTGCTTTACCTTGTTTCGTAGTGGTAAGAGATCTATCAGTTTGCCACATCCTCTTACTGTTGTTCTTGCAAAGACTAGCGCAAAATCCAATACATTTTTCTGCTCTCCAGTTTTTCCTTACACTTTTTGATTCAACTGTTAACACCCGGCTCGATCACAATATTCGTCGTCAGCTGCAGTGCCATTTTTTCACCTTTCAAATCCCTCTTTTGCCCACGAAGATCGAGAACTTCTGCTAGCGATAGTTTCAAATGCAGGATGATGAAGAGTGATGAGAAACTTCCCACCGACCTCACTTAGCTGTTGAAGTATTCTTTCTGTCAGTTCCTTTCCAGATTCCTCCCGCCTTGGTGATGTAGGGACCTAAGTTCCAAATAAATTCTTCGTGTTCCTTCTTTTGCTTGCACTCTAGTTTGCTATCTTCTGTACACTTGGTACATACAAATTGAATAGTGTCTCCTCTCCATGAATGTGCAAAAGTGCAGCGATTAATACCGCGGGAATAATCAGAGTTCGTGTGGATACGGCATTCTACGGACTTGTCCGCTCCACGTACCCTTGATCCATGGTGAAGCCTCCCTTTGTCATCTACGTGCGTTACTTGGAAATTACGCCACTCTTCTCCATGATGACCCCATTTCCCTTCTATCTCTTGTCGCACTACTGAGGCCATTGGTTGCTGACTTCCAGCGTTAGCTCTTTTCCACTCGTGGCTGGCTTCTCCGTGTTTTAACGCAGAAGCATAGGACGGTGGAGTTGTTGTTGCCGCAGGCCCCTGAGGATTATCATCGCTGACTAAAGGCGATGGATCAGTAGATGTGAAGCAAGGAGACGAGTTCAAACGTCCTCCTGGTCCATCACAAGGTTCACTGGGGAGCTGCTCTCGACAACTGGGCGCAGTTGAGATAATAGTGGTTTCTTTTTTCATATCTGTTACATCCGGACTTCTCTGTTTCCCGCTGCCAATGTTTCGTTCACGCGGTTTTTGCCTCCCTCTCCCTCGACCAACAGCAAATAAGGCACTACTCCCATTGTCGTTTGTTACATCCGGATTTGTCTGTTTCCCACTGCCAACGTTTTGTTCACACGGTTTTCGTCTCCCTCTCCCCCGACCAACAGCAAATAAGACACAACTCCCATTGCCGTTTGTTACATCCGGATTTTTCTGTTTCCCACTGCCAATGTGTCGTTCACACGGTTTTCGTCTCCCTCTCCCCCGACCAACAGCAAATAAGGCACAACTCCCATTGTCGTTTGAGGTACTGGTGGACGAAAAAGCCGCTAACTTTCTGTTTGCTGCTTTTCTGGTCATGTTCGAATAAGTGTCTTTATCTACTGGATCGTATGCGTACGGACCAGCCACTGAAAAGCCAACGTAGAACCACAAGTCGTCTCTGCTTTCCTTAGGATAGAGCATGTCATCAAAACGAAGTTGAATTCCTCGATATGTAATGACTCCTGTAGATGCTTTTTGACCTCGTACACGGGCCAATGTTTGGGAGACTTCCTTGCTCCTCCAAAAGTCCGTTTTTGTATTCCTCCACTTTTTTTCTAATTCGGGAAACTCTTGACGGCTTACAATAGCGGCCAGTCCAGTCCCGTTACCGAGGAAGTACTCAGCTGCAGATTTCCGAGCTCTCCAACC